GTTTTCGAAATCCCTAATCCTTATGCTATATGCAATCTTATCTTGGTCACACTGTATATCATAAAATCTCAGTATAGGTATATGTATATGAGATCGAAATGAAATATATTCCATAAAATTCGCAATCGACTGGTCTATAATGGCTCTCCATCGATTCGCGTTGGGAACTCCTGTAACAAACTTGTGACGTTTTCTAATAACATAATAGCGTCTTTTAACATTTCTACTCTGAAAGAACCACACCATTTCCTTCTTCCGGTTACCGCCCTTGGTTATTAATGTTTTCGCTCTAGATCCAAATTAGACTGACTTTCAGTGGAAATCGTTCGAAAACTAGATTTCAGCTAGGAGGAATGCCCACTTGCAAGTCTAATTGTTTCCATTCAGCCATTATCTTCCATCGTCATTTGAAACACAGATGTCGATTGAATAACTTATAATGTATGATGATCATAATAGATATCCGCTGGTCATTGTTGCTTGTTGCTTTATATTTTGATATTTCAACATTTCTATTAGCCCAAGAGCTGGCGACGAATTTTGAGAAGGTCCTTTTGGCAAGTTGAAATTGTGAAAAAATACAATTTTGTCAATTGGAGAATCCATCAGTCCCTGCAAGTCTGGTAGACGAAAACGACTAAGAAAAGATAGCCTATAGTTTTTGTTCGACTGATATACACGGAAAAAAAGGATTTGTTGCATCGACAGATTATTTATGCTTGCATTATTTTTGTTCGACTGAGCAATTTTTTGTTGAATCAATCAGATACATGATTATTTCATGGAAACAGCTTGCTCAAATCAAGAATGTATAGTCTAATTGAATCAACAATATCAATTCCTTCAACAAAATATATGGTTTTCTCAAAAATAAATTATGTCGATCCAAAATAATGTCGATGTTGATTCAACTTATAAACATTTTGTTGATTTGATGAAATACCTATTAATCATTTTGATGAGAATATATCTTTGAAACAACATATAAGTTTTCTTATTCCGATGTAGCAATGAACTTGTTTCGAACAAATCATTTGATCGAATAGAGCAACGAAATATGTACCTATAATATCAATGAAATATTCTGTTCAATTGTTCATTCTACATCAATTTTCGCCTCTAGATGGCGATCATTTCGCCTCGTCTATGCCTGCCTCGAATTCATTATATACGTGAAGCCAGATTCTTCGTGTTTGAAATATCAGCTGATGGATAAATCGGAAGATTAGGAATCCTAAATATCTTTGGATCAGCTGAAGAGACGTAAAAACTCGAGATCTATGGTAGAAGTCGACTAGTTTCCTAGTTTTGTTTATTCCTTTGATGTGAAATTTCAGAAAGTTCCCGAATCAATACTGAATTTGGTTCAACAAAACAATTTGTCGAATGGAAATACAGTTTCTCTTGAATAAACCCAATATTTCTTCGGATCAACCAAATATTTCATTGAATCAACTAAATATTTGATTCAATCAATATCTTTGTTATTTTGAATCAAGCAAAATGATTGTTTGAGCCAATTTAAAATCTCTTCATAAACAATTCATGGATGTGCTTGATTGAATGAGATTCAGAGTTCATGCAAGACAAATTTACTCAATGCAAGCTTCAAATTCGCTTTGCAACAATAGATATACTCATTTCAAGATTATTTTTTGTCATATGACACTTTTATTTGCATCTTTCAATTAAATTTTGCTTGATTCAACAATTCCTTTTCTCCGTCTCCGTGTACGTATACATAATTTCGCCAGTATGTATAGGTATATCAGTGAATATTATTTTCATGTCTATTGATTTTTGTATATCATACCTATATATAGAAATGAGTTTTGCTCCGTGAGAAAATGGGTATTAGTATATTTTCCATAAAAATCTGAGATTGCGAAGCCTGAAAATGTATGTACATATTTTATACGTAGGTACGTATACTTTGGAGTTTTCTCTGAAAAACAAATCTGCTTATAAGCAGCAGAACGTCGTAGAGCTTTCAAAGTGTTTTTGATTTAATATCGCGAACATTCTGGGAGTCAATATTCAAATAGACCGAGGGTAGAATTTGTGTCGGCGCATGTTTAATACACACAAAGTCGCTGGAGAACGATCGACTATGCTGTGCTCTTTACCGTTTGTTAGGTATTCACTTTGAATATATATCTATATTTGGCGGAAATGTGGAATAATGCTGTTTTGAATTGATTGCCTTTGAAGAAGGAGGATTACTGTATAAGCAGGCATACCTGAGTTGAGTTTAATATTTTTTCAGAATAACTAATGATAAAAATAAGATTACAATGAGAGCCAAACCAAACTACCCAAAATACATCAAAAATAAAGAAAAAAGGTATTCACTGAGAACGCCCCTATACACATTACATCTATACATAACTAATTCACAAAATGATATGCTATATATATAGATAAGATTAATTATTTGATAAAGGCATATAGTATAGGTAATATTTCTCGATCACACCATCTTTAACTCATTCAAGGTATTTATAACGAATGAAGATTATACAAAGAAAATTCCCCCATGCACAACCGTTATGGTTAAAATGGGGTACATCGTTTATTACATATATGTATTGTAAAACTACACAATAAAAAATGTAAAATGCCTTATGTAAATAAACATTATTATTATTATTATTATTATTATATTATTATAATATAAGAACTTACCTGTATATACTTATATAGGTATATATCAGACAGCAAAAAAGTGGGTATCTATAACAAATTTCTCAGACACTCACAAACAGTTATTCCAGACGTGACAGGTTTGCCAAAAACCAATTCTGATGCAACTCTAATTCAAAATTATGTACCTAATACCGCCCTCCAATATACGAATTGACCCTATATAGCGAATACGAATATTATGATTTTTTTGGATGTATGGTAAATTGATATTCATCATACAGGACGTGGAAAGAAATTCTGAATTGAAAAAACCCAATCACGAATCTGCGATTAGAGGTCTATACAAATAACAAGATACCCATCGTCAAGTTTGAACCTCTCTTGATTGGAATGAAAGTATCGAAACGGAATACCTATTCTCAGATAATATTATATATAAATATAGTAATTTTTCATCTTCTTCAGTAGTGAAAGATTTAAAAAAATGTGTTTTCTTTTTATGCGTGGAATAACTATTTCTGTTCAGCTACAGAATGAGATCTGAATAGTATCTGATCTACTCAACACCAGAAAAATATTTTTGCAACTTTCTACTACTGAAAATGATGAAATATTACTAGGTATATGCAATCTCCTATTTTGGGTCGAATATCTCGAAAACTGTTCATTTCAGCTCAGTTGAAGGTGATGCATTTTTTGAACAAAACTGAACAATGAATTCGAGGAATTGGAAATAATTGAAATTTAATCAGTGGCGTAGAAAATATGGGAGGAAAAGTTGCCACACCCCCCCTGTAGGGCACCACTGGATAAAATGTCCGGAATGGCTTCCTGGTCAAAAAATGACCCATATATATACAAACATGAAACCATATACCGAAGTTGAATGCGCATTACATTCAATTTTTCTTGAGATATTGTGAAACAACTATTTTTATTTCTTAACTTTAACGCCCTGTATCTCGAGAACTGAACACTTGAAGACCGTATATGTCCCTATCTCAGTGATTTTGAAATCACGAGGGCTATCACCTGCCAAGCGTTGTCGGTCGAATTTCGCAACACCCTGTACATTATTTTCATGTTCATGATATATCTGAGAATATTCCTTCTCGATAATATTATGATTGATGTCTTCCTATTTTATCTATGTATAATTGCTACAAGATTTTTGAGCTAATACTCGTTCCTGGGAGCAACGGAATTACTATACCTTTCCTAAAAACCTAGCGAAAATCAGGAGATACTGGTGTGAAACGAAATTTGAATCATGTAGGTATACTCAGTCCAGTTTTATATTGAACCCACCTCGTAATACGCGGCACTTATCTCTATAGTATGGAGGCTAGCCGTCGGCAGCGGACACCGATAAGAAATGCACGAATAGAGAATAGACAAACGATTATTAGTTGTTTTATTGTTTTCGACACCGCAAACGTCCATTACGTATGTGCATGCAGAATCGATCTGCAGAACACTGATAGCCGTTTCTGTACCACTCGTTGATTTAGTTAGTATATAGGTCGAGATCAATGATTAAAATCCGATGGTTGACCAGAATGTTATGTTGTGATGTAATTTCATAAACTGTCAGGTCAGTTATATGCTGTTTGTACAGGGGCAGTGAAACTTCGATGTTGTCACTCAACAAAAACGTACGAGTAACAAAGAAAAAATCCGTCTCATTCACAAGCCTATAATCAATTCCATATTGGATACAATGAGTTCGTTCCAATATGGCACCTACCTGAACTTTAATATGATCCCACTGTTGTGAAATCAACCCCATTCCATGCGGAATTATATGTTAAGCTACGCATTTATATGAATTGATATTCGGAAAATAACAGCCCCATTTATATAAATATTTGAAATACCACGAATGATTCAGGTTGGGAGTATCCCCGTTATAGATTAAAATGCAAATTTTAAGGATTTCGACAAAAGTAAAGATTTCACAGCAGCAACCCTCTTTTGTTACCCTATGAAAGGAGGTATCTAGAGTCGAGGCTCCCGAGTTCAACAACATGGCGAGGCGGAGATTAAAGCTCTTTGGAGGGGCGCACTACGCCATCATTGGCCCATCGAGTCAACGCCTCCTCTCTGTTGCCAAATATTGGTCGACAAATAGTCCGTGTTTGTTGCAATGTTTAGATGTCCCGATGGGTTCTTACTAGTACAGTATAGCATACTCACTCATGAATGACAGATCATGATTAATGATTTAAGTGACGGTTTGTTTGAAACTCAGCAACAAGTTCAGCCCAAATTGTCGGAGGACAATTAGATATCGAAGCTTCCTAGTTCGTGTGTGCTACAGGGCGAGTGACTGTGATAACATTATCGTTCGAAATATGTGCAGCAACGAAAGTTCAACGAATCCTTTACCGAAGTTGCCCATTCCGTTTACTTTCGAGGCCAACGGAGCTCCGAGAGCACTATTTCCTATAGACCAATACCGTCTGCAGCTCTACCAGTACGCAGTCGCTGAGCGCTTGAGGTACCCACTTCTCAACCCATTCCCGTCCACTTTGACTTGTTACCCCCTGTTCCCAAGAGCGCTACAGCCCGAGGAACCCAAACCACAGCACAGCTACATCGGGCTCATCGCAATGGCGATTCTCAGCTCACCAGAAGCCAAGCTAGTGCTCTCAGACATATACCAGCACATACTCGATCACTATCCGTACTTCAGGACGCGAGGGCCAGGCTGGAGAAATTCCATAAGGCACAACCTCTCCCTGAACGACTGTTTCATAAAGGCCGGGCGTAGTGCCAACGGTAAGGGACATTACTGGGCCGTCCATCCAGCTAACGTGGATGATTTCCGGAAGGGTGACTTCCGGAGGCGTAAAGCCCAAAGGAAAGTGAGGAAGCACATGGGGTTAGCTGTGGACGAGGATGGAGCAGATTCTCCTAGCCCTCCTCCTTTATCTGTGAGTCCGCCAGTGTTACCAGGCCCTTCGACCTCCGTATATCCCATGGTGACGAGCACGAGGAACCCTCTACCACCTACTAGAAAGCGGCAGTTTGACGTGGCGTCACTTCTAGCTCCGGATTCTGGGGAGGAAACGAACGAAGAAGACATCGATGTCGTTACAAGTGATCAGCAAGAGAAGTCTGAGAACAAACACCAATGGCCAATGTTTCCGATCGCTGACTATTATCAAGCGCTTCTCCAGACACGACCAGTAGCCCAACTGAAACCGGAGACAAGTACAGATAGTACACCCAGTTCGTAAGTGGAACTATCGGTACCTACATACTTCGAATAGGAAATCTTATCAAACAAACGATGGACCGTTCTAGGCAAATCATCTTCCAAATACTGATCAAACAATATTGATCGAATATTTCGCAAGATGCAGTGCTGGAGACTCAGAAGAAATATATGATGGTATATTCGTAAGTTGAATATATTAATTTATATTAACGGAAATCTGGATCGCCTGGATTTCAAGAAATCTTTACATCTATAATGAAACTCCAAAAATAGTGGGTACTTTCTTCTGATGTTTTGTTAGTACTTAAATGATATCGAATGTTTCCTATATTTATGAAATAACTTTACTGTACATTTGTAAATATTCCGATGAATCTTCTATCGTATGGCACACATGTACTTTGAAATTTTTCGAACTGATAACACCTGAAGAATTTGAGAATTTTTTTTCTAAGGCGGTAACAGTTCTTTATTTATTTGCACGGTTCAAGGTATATGAATCCATCAAGTTCAAAATAGAGTAGGCGTATAATAACTAAAATGACGAATGGAAAGCCACAACGCTATTTTTATCATCAAGGGATAAATTAGTTCACGCAAATAAACTGAGGACTGTGACCGCTTATAATATGTATATACCGACCTATACAGTGTGCGTCCATCAAGTGACACTCAAATTCATTATAAGGAAAACGAAAAGTACAATACAGATATTATTAGAATTCCTGAAACAGGAAGATTTGATTATATATAACTTATTGTCATTGAATTCTCACCGACTCTTGTATTTTTGCCCACCCTGTACCAAATTGAAGCAACGTATGATACTTATTTGGAATCTGCTCATCATCAGAAAGGGAAATCTATACCTAAATAAAAATAAGGGTTTTTCCATTCGAATAAATCTGGTGACGACGTCATCACATGAAGGTAATTCACCCTGTACCTATATATTCATTTTGAGAAACAGTTATTTCAATATAAGAATCGACCTGTTTCTGGAATTTTCAATAGTATATTGTGTTGTTCAATTAGCTGAAAAAGGATGTATGAGACCTTTTATATGGACGTACTGTATAATGAAAATATAGGTTTAACTGAAAACCAGTACCTACTTCCCCCTGTATATTACTTGTACCTATATTTATTGTAAAAACTATGATGATTAATATATGAGATGAATCAGTACAAGTATGCATTCATTCCATTACAGAATTTTCTTGTATTTCAATGGGGCAGTTCCATTTTACATTCATACAGGGTGTTCCGAAATTACTTTTATATACCTGATAAAATGTTGAAAGAACTTCAAAAATATTTCTGTTAAAATCAATGATGCTTTATAATCTAAAATTTGTAACGACGGCTCTAGATTATACCTACATAAAATATTATATATATATAGTGTACGATATAAAATATATAAACATATATATCATGAAAAATCTTTGGGTATTCCGAAAATTGATAGGTAGCTATACCTAGGTACCTCACAGGAATGGGTATCCAGAGCTATTATGCCATCAGCAAAAAAATTTATGAAAAATACTGGTAAAGGTAAAGGATTAAGAATACCCCTATCGATTCCGCAACTTTAAAACAAAAACATTTGCACATAATGATACAAGAAATGCAGCTCAAAAACAATATCATCAGTAGGTACACACCTAAATTATTCTTTATCGTAGCAAAAAGGTATAAGTATGACCAAAAAATCTGATGTAGCACCATAATATTGATATTAGTGTCAAATCGCCTTCTATATGTCGGCGTCAAATAGTGAAATCCGTCATTCTTTGGAATGCCTAGTCATTTCACGTATTGCCGGCAAACAGCGTAACTCTAAATTTCATACACCGTTTGCCTAATAGTTTCAGGCATACGGAAGGAAGGTTCATTTAGGCAGAGTCATATATGTTGTTTAGAAGCAGTAGTCTCTTCTCTTCTCTCAAGTTATTTTCTGAAAAATATAGTTTCAAGGAAGAAGGTTCATTTAGGCGGAAAAATAGTCTGCCTTCTTATGCATTATATATATGCATCAGAAAGGATCATTTCCTTCCTCAACCGTCTGGCAAACAGAGTAACGGCTGAAAATGGAAGTTACGCTGTTTGCCGACAATACGTGAAATGAGGCATTTCAGGGAATGACGCATTTCAGGGAATGACGGATTTCAGGGAATGACGGATTTCACTAATTGACGCCGACATATTATATAGTATAATAATAACGTATTCCCCAAAGGAAATCGCCAAATAAGTAATCCTGTAAAAACCAATATCAGAACCACTCTTTATGTAGGTAGGTACATTCCTTGGAAATGTAAAATAAGTATATTCGTTCAAACATTTCTTGTTGGTGAGTGTTATATACATACGGCCATTTCTGATTCCTTGCTCCTCCGCATATAATAGTTAAACCAACCGGAATGAACGCTCTGTATAGGTGTATCATTCAATTAAATATTCAAACCACATGCCTCCTTGGGGCCAAAAGCCCCTCCTTTTCCCCTAATGAAGGTTACGGGTATTTTGCAGTTCCATCCAGAAAATAACGTTTGACGCAGATCAGCCATAACTTTGGGTGAAGCGAGGGTGGAGTTTGCAAATCAAATCATGTTGTGCCAAAACGTCCAATTGACGTATGAAATGTGAAATGTTCGGTGATGAATGAAACAAACATGTTGATCATGCAATGTTGGCAAAATGATGAATAGTTCGAATTTTGATAGTCATCATACAGTTCCTCAGTTAACTCAGTGCGTTTACCTTGATGTTGAAATTTCAATAAAAATCTCGGATACCTATATGAATAAATGTATACAGAGATACCCATTCGAAAGCGGGCCACCCTCATGAATTCTTCATTTATGGAGCGATTTTCATGAATTTTTTTCTGAAATATAGAGGGGGGAAAGGTGTATTTGGAAGCCAAGTGGTGTCCATTTTTTCCAACCGCGAGGCCTACTAGATCACATTCAGAGACTAAAAAATCCAGAATCCTTATAAGCGATTTTTTTCACTACACACTGTTTTACCATACTAACCAAACCGATTTTTTACACCTCGACACGTGTTTCGCTAACTATGTTAGCATAATCTTCAGGAGAAGATTGAAACAAATTAAAACTGATGTTCACTCTACTTATTGAACGTTCCAAAATTTGCATTCAATTTGACATGAAGTTAGTTTCATTGTAAAAAATTACTTCTCTGATGAAAAACTGATCATGTTAATGTTTTTATTTCATACCGGTTCCAATTAAGTAAAGATCGGACTTCCATAATAGCTGAGATATATACATATGTTTGAAATGAAAGACGCTGTAGATTCGTTAATGTTGAAAATGTTTTCATGAAACTTGGAACAGATCTAATTCAAAGGACGCCGATCCAGTGGTGTACGCGGATCTTTTCTAAAAAAATCGCTAATATGGATTCTGGATTTTTCAGCCTCTGAATGAGGTCTAGTAGGCCTTGGATGAAGAAGAAAATGTAAGCCGCTTAGCTCCAAAATAATTTTTTCCCCTCTACATTTAACAAAAATCGTGAAAATCGCCCCATAAATTATGAGGGTGGCATGGTTTGAAATGGGTCACTCTGTATATACACTGTTTGCGATTTCAACTCGCAACAACACCCACCTAATTTGGTACCTATTGGACTGATTTCCCAATCAAAAATTCCATTGTACTTAACTATAGACGCACTCAACGAGCTCTCTTCAAACATTTTGACAAATGTGGAATATTCATCGTATTCTCAAGGCCTACTTACACTTACAATAGTATTGTGTAGTAATGCTGGGGCCAAAATTTCAAAAACGATAATCAGACATTTTCTTCCGAAAAAGTGGATTCAGGCTTTTATGAGATAGATGCCCAGCATTCTTTTTTTGGGGGTGTTTAAGAAAAGAAGAACTGCTAATCCAAAATTACTTTTGATCTAAAAGGAAAAAGAACACGAAAAATATAAAAAATGAATCTCGCTAAAGTATGATGAAATACGAAATCGTCAATAAAAGTAATCATTATTGTTCTTTATTTAAATATTATCGTTGATTTATCTTGCCAAAAAAACAGTAGATACTAACTAAACAAGTTTCCATCAGTTTGTTCACTCGAAAAACTGACATTAGACAAAATTGCTCGTCCTATACGGTCTCGCAGTTTTTTTATGTCAGTTTTTCTCTGTAGAATTATACTGCATGATTGGCAAAAAAAGCTCTTGTGTTTTAATAAAAGACATAAAATCACAGTATACTGCAATGTTGATAAAACTTCTCATAAGTATTCGATGTATTTCTTCATCGAATGACTATACTATACTTCATCGCGCAAATTTGCCATCGAATATCTAACACCCTATAATTATGAGGAATTGCGTCAAAATTGTCTAATAGTCGTTTTTCAAAATTTTAACCACTATATCAATCGGATAAACGAACATTTTATCACAGTCTCCCAGCCCGCCAGTACTACCTCTCAAGTGGCATTATTGGAGCATTATTGCAATCCCCATAACTTACCTCCTCCGGAAGTTCACTTTAATTTCTCAGTTGTTACAACCCAAATAGTACAAACCTATTTACTACGCATCAAGAGCAACGCTATTGGATCTGATAATATCTCAATCCGAATGGTTCATCTAATCGATTCTCTCATACTTAATCATTTTACCTTCCTCATCAATGCTATAATTGAAAGTGGTCAGTTTCCCAACTGCTGGAAAAATGGCGTTGTCATCCCTCTAGCTAAATGCAATTCACCTTCTGACTTCTCTGACCTCAGACCCATCACCATTTTGCCTTGCCTATCGAAAGTTGTAGAAATGATATTGAAGGATCAGATAGTCTCGTTTGTAAATCAACGTGATATTATCACATCTGTGCAATCTGGCTTTAGAGCTCAACACAGCACAACAACTGCTCTCTTGTCCATAACTGATGATCTCTTCAGAGCAGCTGATGAAGGTAGTCTGACGTGCTTGGTTTTACTGGACTACAGTAAAGCCTTCGACACT